TATTTGAAGTTTCAATAATGCATTTATCTAGGTTCAATAAAAAATGTCCCTTACAGAGTCACATTCTTGATTGAACCAGTAAATTTTTATATTCTTGATTGAATCAGTAAGTTATCTTTCATTTTTTTGAAACAAATTTGGTGAATTATCTTCCTTACCTAGCTTTTTCTTCCTCTAATCCTTCAAGCATTGTGTCAGATTACCTAATCCAAAATTTAATGTTGAGTTAAAAATTTTTACCTTTACATTTTACCCAAAATTTAATATATAAATGCCACAATTCTTGACTTTTCTTTTAACTTTCTTATGATTATGACGTGTGTTGTGTAAGTATCTCTTTTTTTTTTCCTTTTTGCCCTTTCACAAACTATTTGATTTCCCTTTTTTTATTTTTTTTCTTGATTCAAGCATTTTTTTTTATTTTTGTAGGTTCATTTTAGATTTTTTTTTCCTTTTCATATCTTTTTAACTTTCCTAGTTTTATCTTTTCTTATCATTTGTCAATTCTATTTGTTTTTTTTTTTGCTTTATTTTTTAGTTTTTTCCACATTTCATATGGCATTTTCATTTTCTTATCATCTTATCAGTCTTATTTTTTATATTTTTTTATTGTTATGGATTTTTTTCTTGCTATATATTTTGTTTTGGTGAAAATTATTGGAAATATGTGATTATATCATATAAGAATCTATGGCCAAAATTTTTTTTTAAGTATGACTAAGTTATTACCCCCTACATCCTATCTGTTTGGGTTTGATTGTTTTTTATTTGAACAATGTGTCATTTCAATCAAATCAATTATATATTGTTTCAACCTATGTGCTTTATTATAAAATGATATTGGTGTCTTCTTTATGGAATAGATTGCTTCTTTATTTTTTCTATTTTTATTTTATGTTTCTTATCTCTTGTATTGCTTCAGGTTCATTTTGTTTTCCTTAGAGATTTTTTTTATTAGTTTTTTTGGGATTCACTAGGTATGCATGCATTGAATGTCGTAGATGATTTTTGTTTGTTTACTTATATATTATCCTCAATTATTCAATTTTGGGTAGCTAATATTCTTATGTAGCCAAATGAATAAAAATCAAGGTCCTCTTTTTTAATGTTTAGGTTTTTGATATTTGTTTTTTGCTTTATACTCTTATTGCATCTGAAGTTTCAATAGTACATTTATCTAGGTTCGATAAGAAGTGTCTCTTATAGAGCCATATTCTTGATTGAACCGATAAGTTTTCACATTCTTGATTGAATCAGTAAGTTATCCTTTTTTTTTTTAAACAAATTTGGTGAATTATCTTCCTTACCTAGCTTCTCCTTCATCCAATCCTTCACATATTGTGCCAGATTACCTAACCCAAAATTTAATGTTTAGTTAAAAATTTTTACCTTTACATTTTTCAAGTTCATCCTATAATTTCTCAGTTTTTTATTTTTCAAGTAGAAAAGAGACAAAAAAAATATTGAGATAACTCAAGAAAATAAAGAGCAAGTGGTAATGTGCCACAAAGGAAACGGGTGCGAAAATTAGGAAGACTACTAGTTGTTATATCTATAGGTCAACGGTTTGGTGGGCAGCCTCTATAGTTTAACACCAGCAATCCTAATGGTTAGTTTTTTTTTTTTTTTTTTACATTATTTTCTATTTAAATGACATCAAGTAGTTATTTGGATCAGCATTAGAATGCATATAAGCAAATGCTTATATCTATCAATAGCTTATCTACTAAGTCTTTGTCATTGGTGTATGTTGGTTGAATGTGTGGATCATATGCTATTTAATTGTGCGTGGTTGGGTAAGTTTTTTAGTATGACATTTTTAAGTGGTGGAAGTTTAAATGGTGTAAACCTCATTCTTTAAGTATGTTTTTATTACTCTATTTTGATCTAATGTTTACTATTAGCTTGAAAAAAAGATGGATAACTTTTGTTACTGTTGCTCTGTGATCAATTTGGTTAGTTAGAAATGCACTTGAGGTGTTAATGAAAACATATTGGAATGGTGGTGCAAAATTAATCACCGAATCAAATTCAAAAGTTGCGGTTGTTTGATGTGATTATGTGAAATCTAAACTATGGAGGCTGTGGGACATATTCGATTGATTCATACATTGAGGAGTTGAAAATGTATTTATAATCAATGTATTGAGTGAAAGCTAATAAGATGGCTCTAGCCAAAGAGGGAATGGATTGCAGGGAAATGTTAAATGCATAAAAGGGGTATTGAGTATTTTGGTTTGAAATGTATATATTGCGATTGGATGAGGTGTATGTTAACAGTTGTTTGATTTCTAAATGCACAATAAATTACAAAAAAAATAAAAACAAAAAAGCATGCACTTATACCATCTTTGTTGTTTTAATTTTTTTTTCAACTTTTAAACTTACATTAATTCTGCCTGTTATATTAATTTAATATTTGATGAGATTAAATTTGCTCTTTTTATTTATATGTCCATATATATTATATGTATTTATTTTCATTTTTTTTAATTTAACACCTTAACATTTAAGCCTTTTTTTTTTTCAGTATGTTTTGGGTCTTTAGTTTTTATTTTTTTCATTGTGATGCATTTCATTTGAATGTAACTTTAAGCATCTTTAATTTTGATTTGTTATAATATTTTATAGCTATTCTTAAATACAAAAATTAAACCTACTCACGGGTCGGGTTGGGCCAAGTTCGAGCTAGATCTAGCATGATATTTTAGCATTTTAAGTAAGTCTATGCTCAACTCGGCCCTATCTGATTTTTTAGGATTTATTTTTTTGTCCAAGCCCCTTTTTACATATAATAATAAAATCAAAACCCACAAAAAATACTATTATTTAAAATTAGGGAAAAAAGTTTTTTTTTCCTTTTTGTAAATTAGTTTAACTAATTTAATTGATTTTATTTGAATTTATGAGTCATTTAAGTGTTTGGATCTAATTTAATTTTGTTAAATGCGATTTAAAATTGAATCATTATTTTGTATAAAAAAGAAATGTGTTTTATCTTATTATAAGTAATAAAGCAAATGTGTTTTATCCATTATAAAAAAAATGAAGCAAATGGGCTTTGTCCCATTATGATAAAAATATATATTTTTAATTTTTGGGCTGGGCCAAGCTCAAACCTTAAATGGTGAAGCTCAAATTCATGCTTATTTTTTTATTGGATCTCATTTATTTATTCAAACCTATTTAACAAGCTTAATATTCATATTCAAACATTTTAAAACTTCAAACGAGCTTTCAAGTTCGGACCGATCACCTAGCCCATGAACAGGTTTAACGATAATTCAAGTATTTAAATTGTTTTATGTTTTGTTATTTCTATTTAATAATATTTTTAATTAAAGTTTTATGCTTTTATAGGTGCAAAGAAAAACTTTATTTTTAATAATCAAGGTAAATTTATATTTCATTATCATTTCTTATATGCAATTCGACTATTTATATATCAATGATGATGAATACAAAAGGCTTCTAGGATGTTGGAATGCCTCCAATGCAAAACCAAGTGTATAAGTAAGATTTCATCCAATGAATGTAACTTTTCAACTCTGCCTTTCTGATTTTAACAATATTAAGCATTAAATAATGGTTGAAAGTAATTTTTAAATAGGAATTAACAATATAAATGATTATAGCAATATAAGAATAAATATACAAACAATGCAAAATTGAAGAAATGAAGAAACAATCACACGATGTCATGAAAAATTTTATGATAATAAGAAACTTTATAAGTAGAGCTTTATATGACAGCAAGGATTTCATGCAGTTGTTTGATGTACTATAACATTTTGTAAAGAATGAATATGGTACTTTAGTCTAAAGAATGGAAAGTATAGTGTTGATCTTGATTTTGTAGAATGAATCTCCATCTTGGAATGGTCTGAGGAGGTGTTTATTTGCTGTTTATATTCAGATATTGTAAAAAAAAAAAAAAAAATCTAATTGAAACATTACTAATAATTGTTTTGCTTTTCAAATTATTTTCCTCGGTAAGTAAGTTATATCAATGGAACCAATGCTCTGCTAACAATAAGCTTAAATTTCCTCTTTATTTTTTTGTTACATATATCTGGGTCTATTACTTCGACCAAAGCTCCATGGCTTGATATCTGATGAATGAAAAGAAATGAAATAGCTTTAACTGTTGTTATACCATTGTAATCTAGATTAATGTGTAAGCTTTTTCAAACAATTGATGTTTTTAAGACATCTCGGATCAAGATTTGAGAGATTATTGGCTATTTGGATGGCATATGGTGAGGATCCCATCATCAATCACTAGTTTAGCATCTCGTTAGATCATTTACAAGGTGCATGTTTCTTGGATTTATGTAGACTTAAATATGTGTTAAAGTATACATGCAAAATTAAATACATCAAATTCTAATATATTTATTCAATATAGAAGTAAAATTATGTGTTTAAAGTTCTGGAAGAAGATACTTTTTTAGTTTTTTACTCTTCAAAAATTTTATTTGCTTTTTATATTTTAATGCTCATTCTACTTATTATTTTGTAGAAAAAAGTAATTAGCAAAGGATAGCAGTAGATAGAAAGGAACATGACAATTGAAATAAAAGGAAAGAAAAGACAAGTAAACTTTAACTTACATTTGTTATTGAAAAATCGATTGCTACTTAAAGTTGGCAAATATACTGATTTGCAAAATCATTCAAAACCCAAAAAATACGATAAAATGAAGTGAATAATACAAGAATTGGGAGGGGAAAAAACAAAGATGCAGCTGCAGATTGAATACGAGAATTGTTTGAGTGACATGATAATGGTAGAAGATTAAAGCTACCTCTTGGAAGGCTCACACTCCAATTTAAATAATTCTGGTTCTTGGAATATGGGAGATCTTGGACCTCTCGGCCCAGTTTTCCTTCAATCGTGGACAATCAGGCAACCAGCGATGTGAAGCTCTCGCAAATTGGAGAATCGTTGCATGGCTTCCTTAGATGGCAGATGCCCCAGATTTTCACAACTCTCAATCACTAAAGATCGAAAAGAGGAGAAGTTCCCAACCACACTGGCAATGCACTCACCCCACCGAAGTTCCGAATCGATAATTGGCCCAGTGCGGTGAGGTGTTGAAGTTGATCTGTTAGACAGCATAGTTTTTTCCATCCGTGTAAGGCCAAATCTTCAAGGGAAGATATGGAACGCATGGGAACTGGGAATTGTTCTAGCTGTTCTGAGTAAGGACGCAATTCCAATTTCTTCAAATTGGAGAGGTGTTGCATGGCTTCCTTAGATGGCAGATGCTCCAGATTTTCACAATACGTAATATGTAAAGATCGAAGAGAGGAGAAGTTACCGAACCACTCTGGCAAAGCTTGCTGAAGTTTCGAATCGATAATTTGTTGAGTGCTGTGAGGTGTTGAAGTTGATCTGACAGAGAGGTTAGTTTTTTCCTTCCCCGTAAGGTGAAATCTTCCAGGGAAGAGATGGAACTCATGAGACCTGGGAATTCCTCTAGCTCTTCTGAAAAGGGACCCAATTCCAATGTCTTCAAACGGGTGAGACAACCAAGGCTTCCCTAACGAATGCTCTTCAAGTTTTCACAATATCTGATAGACAAATTTCGGAAGAGAATGCAATTGGCCTACATCTTCATGAATTGACTTAAGATTAGTGCAATTGGATATATACAAATCCTGAAGAGAAGCACGGGCTCGCAATCCACTTGGTAGACTTATTAATCCGTCGCATCCATCCAGGCTTAAGCTTAAAAAAAAGGAGCAGCCATTTACACTGGGAATGGAAATCAGATTAGGACAGTCATTTATCAGTAACTTTTCCAGCATCGTACTTGAAGATAGTCCACCTATCTCTCGTAATTCATAACACCTTCTTAGTTCAAGCCGCTTCAAAAAAGATTCAGATCCGGAGTTTATGAATATCAATTTCGGACAACCACGTGTGCATACGTCTCTTAGACATGTGGAAGCAACCAGTCCCTCTTCTATTTTACTTAATTCATGACATCCCTCCACCTGATGCTCTTGAAGAAAAAAGATACTTCCCTCCACACTTGGAATGGAGCTCAATTTCCTACCCTCTTGTATCTCTAATTTTTTTAGATTGGAGGGAAATAGTCCATCGCCTATCAAACTTAACTCCTCGCGGGCTCTAACAGTGAGTATCTCAAGAGAAGAAAACCTAGTCATCACTGGAACGCCGCTTAGCTTGTCACAACGTACAATTCCAACTCTTCTAGTAAAGGAAAAATGGGAACTCTTGGCTTTGCGTCTAACCATTCTTTTACTTCTTTCAAGCCCACCAAGTTGAAAATTTCCAATGCCGGAAACAATGTGATAGGTTTCTTCTCATCACCTCCGTCGCAATTATTGTTATGATTATTCATATAAAAGTCATTTCCTATGCACCTTACATTATATAAATCACGTATTCTCAGAAATCTGAGATTGGGATATTGCCCGAGAGTTGGATGATTCTTTAAATTCTCACAATCGAATAGATTCAACTCCACCAAATTGATGATAGGTTGAAAAGAATTAGCACTTGGACCACTAACACTCTTCCTTACCAACTATGATGGATTGTTCTCCCCATTATAATTCCAAATAGTTAAGCTTTCAAATTTGAGTGAGGCTCCAGCCCTTCCAATACTTCCTCATCAATGCTGCTGCCGTTCCTCCCAGACTTCCATTGGCATTCCAGCTTTTGTAATTTCTTCTTCTCCCACATTTTTGCTCCCTGGGCTTCTTCTTTGTTTCTAACATTCTGGAGACTTGATATCGCCGACTCTCCTCCAAGTTCACTTAAACATCCCATTTGTCCAATTCACCATCTCCTATTTGTACCCACCTCAAATATTTGCAAAGTCCGAAGACTAGTTAGACATCCGATCTTATCAGCGACTTGAACTGTATAACTGATGTAAATGCCTCAAGCTAACTTAATTTTTCATTCCTTTAGGAAGTTTTTCCAGAAAATAGCAACTCAATCTTAATGTCTGCAAATGGTAGAGATGGGTAATGGAATTTGGAAGTCTTTCTATGCTAGTATTTGCTATATCAAAGTATCTCAAATGCTTTAGCCTAACAATTGAATCTGGCAAGGAGTCAATATCAGCATCACAAAAATTGAGAACCCGTAAGCTTTTGAAGTCCGCTACGGTGTGGAAGAAGAAGCTAGAGTGCCACAGAGAAGTATTATTGGTTTCTGAATTTCTTATGGATTGTGCAAGGTCATGAAATAAATCATGCATCTTGCAACCTGTAATGCGTCCATGCAAGTCCTTTTCCACCTCTTGCAATAAGGAATTTAATAATAAGTCATTGAAGTGCTCATTACAAATATCCTCAAAATCCTGCTGGACATTTCCTTTGGCTTGCTGTAGAAAGCCTTCAGCCATCCAAAGCTAGATCAATTGCTCCTTTGGGATCCTAAAATCCTTAGGAAAAATTGAACAACATGCAAAACACTGCTTCAAAGATGGGGCAAGCAAGCGATTAAAACTTAATTTCAAAACACTCACAATCCTTTTATTCTTTTTCAAAGAACTCCGAAGAGAACTATCCCTGAGTGACTCCCACTCATCTGTGTCCCATTTGTTGCACATTGTTCCTACTATAACAGTTGCCACCAATAGCACACCTGCACATTTACAAGCAATATCCCTTCCAATAACTTCCAATTCTGGAGATATTGAAGAGTTTTGGAATGCTCTGTTTTTAATTATAGTCCAACACTCGTCATCTCTCAGTACCCATTTTCATGAGGTGTTTCCCTTAGCACTGCTACTTTTTCATTACGAGTTGTGAAAGAATGCTACTTTGTTTATTTTCATTTATTCCCAGCAAACTAATAGCACTACCGCAATGCGTATAAATTACTACAAATTAATTTTAAATTATTTTTTAAATTTTAATTAAAATTATTTTAATTTATTTTAATATTTAATATTTAATATTTTATTAATTTTAATATTTAAATATTAAAAATATTTTAGACTTTCTCCAACACCTTGGTTGATCACTAAAAATATTATTCACCTCAATAATATTCAAGTAATACATCTATTTCTTTAAAGAAACTTTGTCATCATATTTATTAAATATTTTATAAAAAAAATTAATTTATATACATGATCAAATACAAATTTTACAATATTAAATAATCACTATTTTTTAATAATTAATCATTAAAAAAATTAAACATATATATCATAGTTTATTCATTAACCTTATTTTTATTTGAAATTAGGAATAATAAATTTTATTTTAAGAATATTTTTCGAATCTTTCAACCCTTAATCGAATTTAAAAAAATTCTCTCACTTAAATTTTTTTAAAAAAAAATTATATGTTTGTAACTTTCTTAAAATTTTATTATTGGACGAATTTTTACTTAATCCTAATTTAAAATTACAACAAATAACTAGTTAAACAAAAACCTACAACTATCTAGTCTAAAAATGTATTTATTTTTTTATCTTTACCATTTTTATTTGTTAAAAAGCAACTAAACATATCTCTAAAAATTTTAAACCTAAATAGGCATGAAACTAAAAAGCACAAATAAATTAAAAGCTAAATTATAAAATTATAAAATTACTAAATAAATAGGCAAATAGAAACGTATGAAAACTAATATAAGATATAAAAATTAAATACCTAGATAAATAAATAAATAAATTCATAAAATAAACAAAAGTAGGGGAAAAAAAATCCTGTTTGGTGAAGCACTTCTTGTAGGCCGTAGGAACCTAAGATTGCAATTCATAGGATTCATTTCAACGAAAGAACTTAGTCATTTTACTTTATTTTTTATATGGCGTGATTAAATTTATCGTACATTTAATTAAATTTAAATATTAATTTTAATGAATTTAAATTAATATAAAATTTTTATTAATTTTTTCTCAATAACAATTATAATAATTTTTTTAATTACAATTATAATAATTATTTTTATTATTTTTTATCTCATCGTGATCAATTTTACTGCACATTCAAATGGAGTCTTAATCCCATATCACCATCCAACGGCCTAGTAAGTGTTGTATAATCAAGTCTTCGCTCAATTTGATCAAGCATAAACGCAAGAAAAAGTGAACTAAAATCTTCTTCTGTCAGGCTTTGGACGTCCCCAATACAGTGTAGTTGTTGTAGATATTGTATAAAACACAAAAAGAACGGTAATTGTTGCCAAACTCAATTCTAGATTGAACGAAGTTCCAAATATACCCTCACCATCAATAATTCTAACTCCAAAAATGTGGAATAATCTTAGAGCAGCTCAATGTGCTCTTGCTTTTTTCTTTTTGTTTTTTTTTTGCTATCAATTTCCGATTTTCCCTTGATTGTTTGATTCCTGGTTCTTAAATAGGGAATTAGTCCTTAAAGTCTAAATTTAAAAAGAATTATTCTAATATATTTTCATCAAAATTCAAATTTAGAGTTTAAATTTAATTTTAATTTAAATCTTTTCTAAAAATAAGACAAATGAACTTTTCTATTCAGGTGGTATTATAATAATCCCAACCAAAAGTGTAATAAACAGAATAAGACTTTTAAATTCGAAAAAACTTTAAAAATTTTAATTTTTCTCCAAACTTAATTCTTCCCCTTTTGCAACTTTGGTAATTATTTTTTAGTCAATAAAATCAATAAAATTAATAAATTAATAAAATAAAATAAAATTTAAAATTAAAATTAATTAAAATCCCGACTAAATGAAGTATGTATATTTAAAGTTCTTCTCCTTTCTCTATCTTTATATTACTATTTTTTTAATAAAAAAAATACTAACCAAACATAACCTAAAATTTTCCTCAAGTGCTAAATTTTTTTAATGTTTTGAAAGGTAAGATAAGTAGTTATGAGAAAGACATCACGTGTGATAAGCAATGGCTTCAGCACAAAATTAAACAAAGCAAGCCACCTAAAACGAAAACCTTGAGTCTAGGTGAAAACGTGTAGTAATAGGAAATATCCAAGCAAATACTTGAAGAGTCAGCTTTGAGTCAGCTCTTAGGAGTCAGCCCATTCAAGTCAATTAATCTTTTTAAACGATGACTCTTAGCACATTCAAATTTTAAATCTCTATCACTCTTTAACTTTTTTTTTGTGATTGTATTGCGACCTTGTATAAAAAATCTAGAAAACAAATCATAACTTTCAATTATTAGAAGTGCAGAAAAACATTTGGGTTTTTGTTTTTTTTTTAATATTCTCTGCAGCTGGGAAAATGGTAATGGAATAAAATTTTTAGGTCAAAAGCATTTTCAAGAAAAAAAAAGAGAAAACACAAGGGGTATGTTTCCCAATCCGAAAGCAAACTTACATAGCTGGAAAATAGTGGCCATTAATTATTTGGCTCTAAAGCATACAAAATTACAGTTACATTTTTCTATCTAATCAAAACTCCATTCAAGTAGTAAAACAAAGATACGTCAAAAGTAGGACAGCAAGCAACCCACAAATATGAGAAATTGAGATATTCATATGCCTGAAACTAAAACTCCTCAGCGAAAAGGACACTACCTCCTCCTTTTCTTCCTGCGTCTCTCACTTTCATCCTCTGAATCTGAATCTGGCTCTGAAGTAGCACTTTTTGAATCGTATGAACTAGAGCTCCCAGATTCATCACCAGATTCTGATTCTGGTTCTGACTCAGATGCTGGTTTCTGTTGTTGCATGATAAGCCGTGGCATGTTCTTCAAATACTCACGCAAATTCTCAGTGATACCGCCAAGCCCAATGGACGTGAAAAAGTTAATGGAAAATCGAGTGTTCTTTGGATTATCCCTCGGGAAAATAGATTCAAATGAGTCCAGCATAGTAGGATCTGAGAGCCGTTCATTCAGTCTGCGAATTCCAAGATGCTCTGACAATTCCTATACCATTACCAAGTACCAAAATCAACATAACAGCTTTTTCCAATAATAAAAGAAAATCAGCTAGTTGATTAGCATATGAGACAAGTTCTACACAAGCAAAAATAAAAAAGAAAAAAAGAGTGAAACAAAAGGTTTAATTCCAAACAGAAGATTATGCTTTTGCGATGTTTCTCTCTCTGAGTATACCAACTCAACTCATTTATCTTAACATTTTCAATGTCCTATCAGAAATAGATTGTTATCACTTGAAATGTCTCATAACTGGACATGCTAGAAATCAACATATTAATTTTCGTTTTATATCATCTAAATATCTAAACACCCAACTTAAATCCAATTGCCCAAATGCACATGTAATTTGGTTCATACTTTTAATCAACTCAAAAGAAAAGAATGTCGGCACTTGGCAACTTTGTTTCATACAAAAAGAGCCCAGCCAATATAGAATAAAAAAGAAACAGGTAAAATATTTAGGTATACTCCTTTAACTTACCTGGAAGAGAATCTTGATAAATATTCGGGAAGAAGAAGTTGTGTCCTCCTCGGTTAAGCGTATATAGGCTAGAACATGCCAAGGCAGAGCATCTGTGCCAAGTAAATGTGCAAAAAACTTTGCCACATTACGTAATTTGTTTGTTTCAAGTCGATGAATCATAGAATATTGCTGAACAAAGCATTTATCAAAATTTTCTTGATGGACTTTGTTGATCATGCAAAACCGCTGCCCCAGAAGACCATAATATCGTAGGTAAGTCCTCTCCTGACTGCAGCATTCCAAGAGCATAACGCATAACTCCATCTGAAAAACCAAAAGCAAGGCAACAAGTTCCTTAGAATGCAAAAATATAAAATAAGAAAACTGATCCCATTATAAAAGAAAAGGAAGACTATTCAATTTTATGAGGGATAGAGGGTAAACACATATAATCAGCAAAGCTGGAAGGGAAATGATGAATTTCTTAAGGAAAGATAAACACCTTTGATTGACCCTTTATATTGCACTATCATTTGTATCACCTTACCTCTTGCCCTGGCTCAAGCTTAATTTTCAGCAGCTTGTGGCCAGCCTCCTCAAAATCTACGCTGGACATGATTGTCAGGTAGATTGTCCTCCGAAGATTTACAAGATTTGTCTCAGTCTCATCTTTTATTTTCATCTGCTCCTCATCTTCCTCATCAGATTCATCATCCTCCTCGTCATCCTCCTCATCACCTGAACCCACATCAGAACCCTCTTCATCCTCGGATTCCTCACCAAGGATGGTTTTCTTCAACTCTTCATAGCGCTTTTCATTCTCCAAGAATTGAGGATCTGGTTTAAAAATGTCTGCAAGAAGGACAATTACAGGTATTCACTACCACATACCAGAAGGAAATAACCAAACAGGTAGAGTTTATCACTAAAAAAAAAAAAATGTAACTAGAGATATTTTGAGACATACCAAGGGTGATCTCTGGATCTATCTCATCTTGGAGAGATATCTCATGAGTTAATTGGTCCTCCTGCTCAACAAGGTCTAGCTCTGGACGAACAGCAGGGTACCCCTGCAAATGCATACAGGGAAAACAAAATTATAAGTTGTTCCCTTTGTTAGAAACAAAGGTATTCTAACTTAAAATTTCACAGTTCTTCAAAAGAATTAGGGAAAAAACACACCTGAAACTTGGCTTTCCTTATAGCAAATAAGCCCTCTATCAGAAATTGAACGCGTTTATCTATCTCTCCCTCATGAAGAATCCCCCGAAAGCGCTCAAAAATACCTGCAAACACAACATGCAGTATTAATTGAAAAGGGAAACAAATAAAAGTCTTATGAGATACCACTAGACTAAAATCATCAAAGGCGAGAGAGAGAGAAAGAGAGAAGAGAGAGAGAGAGAGAGAGAGAGCTAAATGTAGTTCATCTTAGTATGTTCTAGCAGCTGAAGAAAGAAAAACCCTGAGAAAAAATGATTTGCCATGCATTACATGTATGATCAACAAAATGCAAGAGAATGCATCTTGACATTCCTACACCATAATATTATGGAATCTAAACTAGTGTCAATCACAATGCATATAAGTAAAACTACTGAATTGAACTATACATGATTCAAACATTATCACTCACCATGGAGGCCTTTTGGTGAAAGATCCTGAAGTAATGAACCACACTCAGTAACAAAACCAACGGCCACCTCAACACTGTCATCAGTAGGGTTCTCCAGCAAAACAGTGAGCAGTTCCAAAGCAATAATCTCATGAGCCACTTGCTGGTTCACAAGATGTGCTATAAATTTAACAGCAGCTAATAATTGAGGCTGTCCAATAAAAGAAACAATCAGTAACACACAACCGAAAGAAAAAGGTACCCTTTAGTCATTGATAAATAGATCATTAGAATTAGTGAAGAAAGGGGCAACTACTCACCTTGTCATTCCGCTTATATGCTCTCTTAAGTTGCAAAACAATCCTTCTCAACAGTAAATCCCCTACCTCAGGAAACTTGGTGTTTACAACAGCCACCAATGCAGCAAAAACATCTGTGAAACCTGGAGATGCCATCTGAGATTTCATACATGAACGACAAAAGAGACCCCTTCCTCGAATAAGATTCTCAGCAAAGAGTTCCGGAATAATATTCTTTATATTAGTAGCATTGACTTTGTTAACAAGCCCATTGATACTTTTTCTAAGGGCATCCCATGTTAATCGCTGATACTCAACACTGCTCTTATCCTGTGTCTCTTTCATCATTCTTGCTAATTTAAATGGAGGAATATAAACCCCTCCACTCCTACCTAAATTTGCCGTATCACCATTCAAGTTGGTTTGGTGCAAAGCTGATTGTTTTGGCTTGGGTTTTCCTTCCTCTTTCTCCTTAAAACTATTATCATCTCTGTTTCTACGGCTTGGCTGATTATCATTGTCTGTCCTATCACTTCTATTCTCATGTTCTGTACTTCTATGGGACCTTCTTCTACGATCCTCATCATCATCCGAATCATGACGTGAATGACGGCTTCGGTCCCTATTTCTATACTTATCTTCATCAGACCCCCGCCGTGAATGGTTACGCCTATCCCTATGTCCAATGTCATGCCTATTCCGCATATCCCTTTCTCCCCTCCTATCCATCTTGGCTCGCTTCTCTTCATCTGATTCATCAGACGACTCAGAATTTTCCTCCACTGTATCTCTCCGCCTTTTCTTAGAATCATCAGCATCACGAATCCTTTCTCTTTCACGCCTTCTATCCCTAGAATGTTCTCTCCGCCTATCCTTGCCAGCATCATCATCATCATGAATTCTATCTCTTTCTCGCCTCCTATCTATATTGGCACGCTTGTTTTCTTCTTCGTCAGAAGATCCAGCATACTCTCTCTGCCGATTCTCCTCATCATTATCATCATGATTTATTTCTCTTTCTCGTTCACGTCTTCCCCTATCTCTATCTGACCTAGAATGCCTTTTGTGACGATCACTCTCATCTCTCGAAATATCGTCACCCGATTCACTGTCATTTCTAGCCATTCTTTAAAAAGTTAAAACCAATTATGTACAACCCCCACCTTCAACCCTCCCTCACCCAGCGAACCGGTCTTGAATACCGAAAAAAATTGGATAACAGAAATTCGAAACACTTTGACCAGGTAAATATGAACAAAGAGGGAAAGAAGAAAAGTAAGAGCGAGGAAAGGCAGACCTGAGTGAGTGTCGCAACTCGCAAGGGCTCAAACTCAAATCAGAGCAGCAGCGAAGAGATTCTATATTTCTAAATACACGCCCAATTGATACCTTTAAACCCTAATTTTGATGACAGTTTGGCCATTTTTTTTATAAGCTTGAGGTTGCCAAAACTACCGCTTCAGAACTTTATCCATAATCCACGCGGCTGATTTGGCTTTATTTACTACAACATAAAAATAAAATCACCTTTAAATTTAAAATAGTTTGTATCATCGCTCAATTTCTTTTTCGTTATTTTCAATAATTAAAAAAAAAAAACCTACTAATGAATCTAAAAAAATAAAATTTTGTACTGCAATTTTAATTTTTATTTTAGAAAGCACTTTAATATTTTATACTATTATTGCGACTCACGTTATATAAATATTTAATAAAATTATGTAACATGTTATAAATGTATAGTTATTTTATTTTTACATTAGCAAAAAAAATTATTTTTTTATTCTTTTTTTTTCTAAATTTTGGATTAAAAAATATATTTTAAAGAATAAAATTTTTTTAAATTCTAACGAAATAAATAAATGATGTGATAATAATTAAATTTTTATATTTATATAACGATTTTAGTATATATTAACACTGCTTAAATAAATTGACTAATAATATTAGATTGGAATATCAAAATGCTTGATAATGAAAGTTTGTATATCAATATGAGAATTTATTTTTTTAAATACCAAACAAATAAAAAATATATAATACAAGTGATTTGTTATTTAACCCTTAAAAAAAATAACTTTTACTCTATACTAATATCATTTATTTTTTAAAATAAATAAAATAAAATAATTAATCTTTACTAGGCAAGATACATGAAATGTTAACCATTTGCTACATGAGGGTATCCTTTTTAATGATTTAAAACTTAAGTTAATTATATTTCTTGGATCTGAACTTTGAAAAAAAAATATAAATCAGAATATAAAAAAAATAAAATATATGATTTAGACCTAAATTTTTATAAAATATATAATTTACACTTTAAACTTTTTAATTATATATAATATTAACCTAAATTCTAATTCCAATAACCATATCAACTTATATATATATATATATATGTGTGTGTGATATTTTATCAATATTATCAAATCATATATTCAATACATATTTTATCAACATCTTTTTCAATAAAAAGGATATAAAAAATATTTTTATTTGAACAATAAATTTATCTAAGATCAATCAAATATTATTTGTCACGTAATATTACATAATATTTTTATAAAATATTTAATAATTTTATTTAACAACTAACATACAGGTAACAAAATTTTATTAGTGAGGTATCATATAAACAAATTAAATTAACATTTTCTTAAAGTTGAAGTACAAAAAATGTAATTAACTCTTTAAAGCTCAATTAGTATTTTGCCTATTCTATTAATACATAAACTGTTTACTTTTATTCTACTATAAAAAACAAAATCTTTTATTCGAACAAGATCCCTATATGAATCGAACTACTTGTTAACCACGGGCATAACTTTAAACACGAATTTTAAAATTTAAGCCCGACTCAAATTACTGTTTAATTAATAAAAATTATTTTTATTTCAATTTAATTTTAAATTTTTTAAATTAATTTTTTTTATTTTTTTAAATATATACTAGAAACATGTATTTCTATTTTAATTTTATTTGTATAATTAAAAGACTACTGTTAATATATTTAATAATTCTTCTAATATTAATATAAAAACATTTTAATGTTTTTTTTTATAAAAAAATTTAAAAATAAATAAATTTCTCAATTTTCAAATCAAATCAAGATAAAATATATCTAATAACTTAAAATAAATAATTACATATCATAATAACTCCAATAAACGATCATTGACAAAATTTAATTTTAAAATCTCTTAGTCAAAAAAAATAAATTTCAATCAATTAAACCAATCTATTATATTGGTTTATGAAACAATAATCGAACAATAACAAGCCTTGACACGAGATTTTAAGCAATAATCGAACCGACCCATGAACAGATATATAAAACAAGACTAATTTAAACCTGGATATCTATTATTTTTTCATAAATACAGGCACATGGAAATATGCGTTTTCTTCGAACGTACATTTCCAAAACAAAATTATCGTAGCTTTTCTGCTTAACTCACGAAAGCTGGTAGGAAAAGGCTGAACTCTTCACCCAAAAAAAAAAAAAAAACTACTAGTACCACAAGCATTCAACAAAAAGGGAATGATGGTCTTAATCACTGAACAAAACAAACAATTATTCGTTTTAGGACCAATAGCAGGAATCAACAGGAAACAATAACCCTCTTCGACGTTTGAAAAAGCCATCCCAATCCCCTGTATTAACCTACAAAGATGACCGTTAACCATGAATCAGTCCCCCATTAGTCTTCATTCTGACTTTCATCTTTGACAAGCTTGATCATATCATCAATTCGAAGAATTGTTATGGCTGCTTCAGTTGCAAACTGGCAAAAAGGAGAGTATTTTAGGGAACTACATTAGCAGGCTGTTTGCAAAGTCGGATAACATACTCGAACAAAAACAACCAGATTATTCCAGTCATTTGTACCATGGTTTTTACCTGAATAATCTTCACTTTGCTCATTGCAGGCTCAATGACTCCAGCTTCTAAGTTGTTACGAACAGTTCCGTTTGAAAGGTCCAGACCCATGCTGTAACATTAAAGAGGAGAGCAAATTGAATACGTTCAGTGCCACAACTCTTAATTATCTAATATTTTCTTTTATCAAACTATGTATACCTTGAATAATGTTTCTTATCAGCCTTGGTTTGAGCAGTATGGTGGTAAGCCCGAAGTTTTGCAACTAATTCGGTGGCATCCTTGGCAGCATTGACTGCAAGCACCTGTGCAGGATCGATTTTATTAACATAAATATTTACTTCCCATATAAAACAAGAAGTGATACGAGGCAATTAAAGATAAACATCCAACTAACTTGCAGCCTAGCCAACACTAATGCTACCTTAGGTATAATTAAAAGAGATTCAGCAAACTCTGCAATTGCCAACTGTTCACGTGATCCTAAGGTCGTGGCAAGATACTCCAAATACACAGATAAAGCAGCTTCAACTGCACCTCCACCTGCTACTACCTAACATTGCCAACACCAAAAGGGACATTAGTAGGCAGTATAATATTGCATTATGACTAATGATCTGAACTCTGAGGAAATACTAAAATGAAAATGATGGACACCACTAGACTCTTGAAGTAAACCACCACATCAATAGAAAAATACCCACATTGCATTAAAGATGCTACCACTGGACATCCATGTTTTATCGATTGAAAATCTATCAACCTGCTATGCTCAAGTAAACTATTCTCTCATTAACATCAATGTTGGACCTTGAAACTAAAAACTAAAATCATTTGTTACGAATTGAGTTTACCATATTGGACTCAAGGGTCCTCTTCACAATAGACAAAGCATCATGTAGAGCTCTCTCCATCTCATCAACCATATAGTCATTTGCTCCTCTGAGGATCAAGGAAACCTTGGAAATGATGAAATAAGAAGAGTCAGGCTCACATGGTTATCACAAATCCAAAGGCATAGCCAACATGTGAGAATCAATATACTAAACTGGGGCACATAGCTTCAAAATTTTTATCCGTTTGTTTAACATTTTAGTGACAATAATAGTGATATAACAACACAGTGCTGCCCTTTGGCTTCAACACCAATCATAGCTCCTCTCATATTAAAGTAGCCCTAAAATTTGTTTTCAAGATAAAAAAGATAAAGGGCAAAGATATCTGAAAGATAATGAACCCCAGCCAGCATTAAATGAATTAGATTCCAAAGCTTGATAGCAAAACACATACAGCACTTTTACTCTTGGTCCCTTTGATCATAACCACATCGTCATCAGCAATGCGCTCCTCCACAACTTCATCAGCATATCCAAGAAGTGATGAATCAAAAGTTTCCTCTCCTTCCATATCAGCAAATGTTGAAACCTGCATATCCATGATGGATGTCAATCTTACCCATACCCAATGGGGGAACCGACTTTTTATTCAAATGGGGATGGGGATGGGTATCATAATGTCGGGATGGGTATTGGGGATGGGGATGGAGACGAGTAATATAGTATCCACCCCATACCATACCCTATATATATTTATATATATTTAGTAAATATAATTTTTTATTAAATAATATAAATTATTATTTTAGATTAATTAGAATTAATATATTTTTATTGAAAATATATATATTAATATATTTTTATAAAAAAATTACTTAAATATACAAGATAAAAATTAAAAAAATTAATTTTAGTTTTTATTTTTTTTAAAAGTTACAGGTATGAGGATTACCTATACCTATCAAATACTAGCGGGGATGGGATGGATAGAATTTAAAATATCAACTGGGTATGGGTGCAGGGATGGATATAATATAAAACTCTAGGGATGGGGATGATAAATGCTCTACCCTACCCGTACCCTACTCATTGACATCCCTATATCCATCAATGAGGAAGAACGTGATAATACAAAGGCATTTAATAGTGTTTTTCAAACTATTACAAGTTATGAGATCACTAAGTTGTTTTTCAAAAATTCATTCTTCCTTTCTTTTTTTTTTTAAAAAAAAAGGTAAACAACAAAGTTAAGTTACAAATGATGCAACCCTGAATAAAAATACATTCCAATTAGCTCAACAAAACACAATTTAAGTTTTGGCAGAATACAGTCCTTTATAGCAAAGGGATTGATTATTAACCATAAACTTCAATTAATTCAACACCAGAGAGACCATGAATACAAGTTATATTGTAGCATAAAACATGCAGAATTTAGATGGTATGACAACAATTATCACTTATATGCTAGTAGGAGTGTACCATGGTTGCTCCAGTTGCCTTAGCAACATGTCGCATATCCTCTTTTCGTACACGTCTCACAGCAATAGCCCCTGCCTCCACAAAATACTGAAAAAGCAATGAAGAATTTTTATTTTTTTTTTAAAAAGAGGGAAAACCAAATAGCCAGTAAGCAGTTGGATAAAAACAAATATAAAAGAAACTTGCCTTGAGTGCCATGTCATCAATCCCTTTTGTAGTCAGAACAACGTTGGCTCCTGCTTTCAGAAGTTTCTCGATACGTTCTTTCGTCATATCAGCTTCTCTGTTGAGACACAAATATCATTAGTGCCACATTTTATGGATATGAATGGCTGTTTTAACATTTACTCTAGGCATGCTCTAGATAATATGATGAACTTCTACATACGTCAGACCAGAAAAATTAAAAACCAAGGAAAGAAGCTGCAAAAAGGTAAAGCAAATGGTATCTGCAAACAAGTTAATAATGTTATGACTTATCACCTCTGACGAATTTTCTCAAGCTCCCTAGGATCGGTGACTAAGACTTGGACTCCCAACTGCATTTTTGTCTTCTGAAGATTAAAATCAAGACAAGCAATCTTGGCAGGGGAAACTCTTAACAGCATTCCTTGGGCTGCACGGCCAGTGTTAAGAGCATACCCATTCAGCAGGTAGCTGTCTCTGGCACTTTTTCCATGTGCTTTCAAAATATTAATTCCCTGAAATATGAAGAAAGCAACTACGGACTCAAAACAGATAAATCAGGCTCCAATTAAAGAAAATGATACCATCTCACAACATGAGCTCATACAAGAATCTTTGATAAGAAATGCATTAAAATATCTACCTTGATTGGGTATTTGACTTCTCCTCGTGCATTGGTCATCTTTACAGCTAGAACTGCTTCAACAACCTACACTAAAAATTCGATAGATAAGACAAAAAGGCATCTCTAATCAGGTTTGATCCCTTGTATCTCATAAAACATAGGAAGGAAAACATTTAATGACTTCAATTCATAAACAAGAGGATAGGTATAGCAAAAATAGAAAATATGGAACCATCACTGATGAAACCAGAAATCCTTTTTATGGGAAAGGGAAAGAAAAGTTAAAGATATATGTTTGAAGCGTTTTTTACAATGAATTAAGGTGTAGCAGCATAGGATGTCAAGTTCATCCAAGCAAAAACAGATAGACGTGAAAACATATCAGTTAAACTAGTCTCCAGATGGCTGAGATTTAAATAAAACAATTTTTATTACTCAGCTGGGGGCAATAATCATACCAAATTAGCGAAGAAGTCACTGTCACCAGCTATGAGCTTCGAGGACATGCTTGTCTTGGCACAGTTTATTAGAGAATCTTTCCCAAGCTTCTCAACCTAGCAAAGAAAACATAGGATGAGTAAAAGGATTAAGGAAGGAACAACAGATATAGAACATTGCAATGACAAAAGATCTACAGGATAAAAGTCAATCAATTTTAAGAATTTCAATTCATATTTGACACTATATCATGTCATATGAGAACAGAATTTAAGGAATAATATAAGGCACAGTAACTTGGAGTTGGTATAACAAACCCCATGATGTAATCAAATAGATAAGAGGAGGCATGGCTATCTGAAGTCTGGATATAAATCAAAACAGATCTGTAGCAAAATGCTGTCTATGGAAACCAAACTGTCAGGTTTCACATGCAAATTATCCATCATTCACTTTTCAATTGCTTCTAAACAAGACACTTACTTTTACTGCCAATTTTTCTTCAACGTATTTGCATGCTTCTTTCATAGCAAGCTGCCCAAATAAAAGAACCCAAAAACATGTTCAGATTACGCTATATTGATATCTTATAAACCAGAAAAAGGTGACATGCTAGAGGAGGAAAAAGTTACTCACTCTGAAGCCACTAATTATGGATGTTGGGTGAATTTTATTCCTAACCAGATCGTTTGCTCTCTGTCAAATTGTAAGTAAATCACATATTATCAAGTCACCATCTCTTCTCAATAATATAATGATTCTTAAAAAGTAACATTGGCCCAAAATAACTGCTTTTATACATAGATAAAATCCTGTAAAGAAATAGATGCAATTACCTTGAGAAATTCTGCAGCTACAATGACAACCGAGGTTGTTCCATCACCAACTTCTCGATCTTGAAGCTCCGCCAACTCTACAAGTACCTGCCATGTAAGAGAAGGAGATTAGAAATCTATTACAGGAGTAAAGTAGTTAGGTAACAGCAAATGTCTTGTAGCAACATTGTAAAATCTGGCTATTTATCCACCTTGGCAGCTGGATGCTCAACTTCTAACATCTTGAGAATCGTAGCACCATCATTTGTAATCGTTACATCACCAATGTCATCAACAAGCATCTGAAAATAATCAAAAAAATAATAAAAAAAGCAAGTTAATGTAATTGTCATAGAAAAATACACACAGCCAAATTAAAACTTTAAAATTAAAAAAAAAAAACAAATGAAACATCATTGGCAAGTTGACAAATCTTATAAGAACATTACTGAAGGACGTTTTCATGGAAATATGGTAATTTGAATTATCCACCTCGCAACTGAAATTAAAACTAAAGCGAAAGCAAATGGGATTTGTGTATTTCAACAGAAACTAAAGGAGATACCTTGTCGAGACCTACTGGGCCGAGTGAGGATTTAACAATATTGGCAACTGCTTGACACGCCACCACTGTTGAACGGCCCCATAGGAAAAACGAAAATAAGAAAAATAAGAAATAACATTTTGTTAAAACAAAAAAAAAAAACAAATTGATAGTATTTGTTAATAAATGAAGCAGGGATGGAAATAGAGAGGAGCGAAAGAGAAGGTACCGTTTTGAGTGCGAACGTCCTGACCAGATTGGCGCTCGCCGAGAATATCTGGAGCTTGTGCTGCAATCGCCATTTACCGTTTAAAATTTAAAAGAAAAAAAAAAGAGTTGGCGACGAAACCCTAGATCGGGATCTGTGGATGGAAGGTGAAGTTGCGAAGGAAAGGGATTTGCAGTAGAAAGTGAGTAAGAAGTGGGAAATGACTCTGCAATGCTCAAATGACAAGCAGAAGAGGCTTCAGGGTTCTATACTCGTCTACTACTCTGTTTGACTGTTTCATGGGGTTTTAAATTACATTTATACCCTAACAAAATTATTTCTTCTTTTTTAAACCTAAATAATAAAGGTTTATATTTCTTTTTTATTCTAAAAAATAATTTTTACTTTTGAAAACTGAAAATAAATTTTATAAAATATTTTATTCCATTTTTTAATAATTAATAATTAAATATTAATAGATTCGAATGAGGCTTAAGAAAATTAAATCAAAGCTATCTGTTGGAAGCCTCAGACGCCACATTTTTCGTTTAATAGAGAGATCCTGCGAAACGGACGGGAGAGGCACTGCACAGCTTCCTCAGATGGCGGACGCATCAGAATTCATAATGAAACAAGGGAAAAGGGGAGCCAGGGCACCGCCGCGCCTTTATTGGTGCTTAGAGTTGGTAAATATTCTGCTCTATTTTTCAAAAAAAAATAATCTGCAAAACCATTCCACAAACCCATGAAAACAGAAAGAATACAATAGAAATAAGTACATAATGAATAAATTAGGAGCTGCAGATTTATTTAATACCAAGAATTGTTGAGTGAAATGATAGTGGTAGAAGAGTAAAGCTACCTCTTGGAAGCCTCACACTCCAAAAATATCGCCGCAGATATTTGGAATGTGGGAGATCTTGGACTGCTCAGCAAAGTTTCCTTTTAATCGCGGACAACCAACGATCGAAAGCTGCTTCAGAATGGAGAGGCGTTGCATGGCTTCCTTATATGGCAGGTGACCCAGATTTTCACAATCGCAAATATATAAGGATCGAAGAGAGGACAAGTTTCCCAACCACTCTGGCAAAGCTTTCACTCCACTGAAGTTCCAAATCCATAATTCGTCAGGTGCGGTGAGTTGTTGAAGTTGATCTGGCAGAGAGCTTAGTTTTTCCCATCCAACTAAGATCAAGTTTTCAAGGGAAGAGTGGAGGTGGTGGATGGAACCGAGACCGGGGAATTCCTCTAGCTCTTCTGAGAAAGGACCCAATTCCAATGTCTTCAAACGGGTGAGACAACCAAGGCTCCCCTCTGGAATGCTCTTCAAGTTTTCACAATATCTGATATACAAATTCAGAAGAGATTGCAGTTGGCATACATCTTCTGGAATTGACTTGAGATTAGTGCAATTGGATATATACAAATCCCGAAGAGAAGTACAGGTTCCCAATCCACTTGGTAGACTTGTTAATCCTTCGCATCCATCCAGGCTTAAGCTTAAAAAAGAGCAGCAGCCATCTATACTGGGAATGGACGTCAATTTAGGACATTTCCATATGTATACATCTCTTAGACATGTGGAGGCAATCTGTCCCTCTTCTATTTTACTTAATTCATCACATCCCTTCACCCGAAGCTCTTGAAGAAAAGAGATACCACCCTCGACACTTGGAATGGAGCTCAACTTCCTACACTCTTGTATTGCTAAATTTTTTAGACTGGAGGGAAACAGTCCATCGCCTATCAAACTTAACCCCCCGCAGAATGCAATAGTCAGTATCTCAAGAGAAGAAAGCCTACTCATTACTGGAACGCTGCTTAGCTTGTCACAACCTACAATTTCCAACTTTTTTAGCGAAGGAAACGTGGGAACTCCTGGCTCTATGTCTAACCATTCTTTTACTTCTTTCAAGTCCACCAAGGAGAATTTTTCCGATGCCGGAAACAATGTGATAGGTTTCTTCTCATCACCACTATCACAACTATTGTTATTCATATAAAATTCATTTCCTATGCACCTTACATTGTATAAATCACGTATTCTCAGAAATCTGAGATTGGGATTTTGCCCGAGAGTTGGAAGATTCTTTAAATTCTCACAATAGAATAGATTCAACTCCACCAAATTGATGATAGGTTGAAAAGAATTAGCACTTGGACCACTAACACTCTTCCTTACCAACCATGATGGATTGTTCTCCGCATTATAATTCCAAATAGTTAAGCTTTTCAAATTTGAGTGAGGCTCCAGCCCTTCCAATACTTCCTCATCATTTCTGCTGCCGTTCCTCCCTGACTTACATTGGCATTCCAGCTTTTGTAATTTCTTCTTCTCCCACATTTTTGTTCCCTGGGCTTCTTCTTTGTTTCTAACATTCTGGAGACTTGATATCGCCAACTTTCCTCCAAGTTCACTTAAACATCCCAATTGTCCAATTCCCCATCTCCTATTTGTACCCACCTCAAATATTTGCAAAGTCCGAAGACTAGTTAGACATCCGATCTCATCAGGGACTTGAACTGTATAACTGATATGTAAATGCCTCAAGCTAACTAAAATTTTCATTCCTTTAGGAAGTTTTCCAAGAGAATGGCACGTCAACAATCTTAATGTCTGCAAATGGTACAGCTGAGTAATGGATTTTCGGTAGTCTATCTATGCGAGTATTTGAGATATCGAAGTATCTCAAATGCTTTAGCCTACCAATTGACTCCGACAGGGAGGAAATATAAGCATCACAAAAATTAAGAACCCGTAAACCTTTGAAGTCCGCTACGTTGTGCAAGAAGCTAGAATTTGAAAACAAAGAGTACCACATGGTATTATCCGTTTCTGAAGTTCTTATGGATTGTGCAAGATCATGAACTAAATCATGCATCTTGCAACCTGTAATGCATCCAAGGAGGTCCTTTTCCACATCTTGCAATAAGGAATTTGATAACAAGCCATTGAAGTACTCATTACCAATATCCTCAAATGCTAGCTGGAAATTTCCTTCAGGCTGTTGGAGAAAGCCTTCAGCCATCCAAAGCTGGATCAATTGCTCCTTGTCGATCATAAAATCCTTCGGAAAATTTGAACAATATGCTAAACACTGCTTTAATGATGAGGAAGGCAAGCGATCAAAGCTTAATTTCAAAACACGTACAATCCCTTCGTTCTTTTTCAAAGAACACCAAATAGGACTATCCCTGAGTGACACCCACTCACCTATATCCCGTTTGTTGCACATTGTTCCTCCTATAACATTTGCCACCAATGGCACACCTACACATCCGCGAGCAATATCCCTTCCAATAGCTTCCAATTCTTGAGGTATTGAAGAGTTTTGGAATGCTCTATTTTTAATTATGGCCCAACACTCATCATCTATCAGTGGCATAAGATGATACCTATTTTCATGAGGTGTTGCCCTTACCACCGCTACATTTTCGTTACGAGTTGTGACAAGAATGCTACTTCTTTTATTTTCATTTATTCCCAGCAAGCTACTCCTTAAGTCCTCCCAAGTCCTAAAATCCTCATCCCAGACATCATCAAGTGCGAGAAGGTAGGTTTTCCCTTCCAACTCATTCCGTATTTTTTCAAGTATAGCATCCCTATTTTTCATGTCACAAGTTTGCCCAGTAAGAGATTCTAACATCTCTTGTAATATCCTTTGAACATAAAAATTTTCAGACACACACACCCACATTATTTTATTAAAATAATTCCTTGTTCGCTCATTGTTGCAAACTGATTTTGCTAATGTGGTTTTCCCCAAACACCCCATGCCCACTATAGATATGATGGAGAAGGTTTGTCGAGTGCTTGAGCCAATCAACAAATCAATGATTTTTGAGACATCAGCTTCTCTTACTACAACTTGGGAAGAGTCAACAAAGGAGTGAGTGGCTTGGCTCCCTCTAGATAATGGAGGCAGAGTTGGAACTCTTTGTTGGAGTCCAAACTTAAGCGCTCGATCATTAATCTCATGAAAGGATAAGTTAATACCCTTAATGTTAGAGGCATCTTGAAACAAAATACAATGGGATTTTTGGAGATGGAAAAGAAGTTGCAGACCTTTTTTCTCATTTGGGTTTCCACCTTCCTTCGAAGATCTTCATAGGCAAGCTCATCCAATACATCATCCGCCTCACGAGCAATTTTTCTAAGCTGCTTCAGCCAAACTTGAATAGGCTCATCAAGTTGCCTCGTCTCTACATCATGTAGAAAAGCATGAGCCATGGTAAGTGAACCACGTAACTTATTCAGCTCGTCCTTGAAACCCATTGAAGGTTGATCTGCTTTTCAACAATGGAGATGGCCTTGGACAGTGTCACTTCTATGGCAGCACTTATGAGAGGTTCAGCCATTTTGTGCTTCAATTAGTACTCGGGAAAGTGAGAAATGCCTGGAGAGACTAACAAAATTTAAAAAAAAAAAAAAATTTCGTAGTGATAGAAAAATTAAGCTCATGCCAAGGGACGGTTGGTTTAGCGACAAGACTTTAAAATTTTAGATTTCAAGTTAAGTTATTACTGTGTATGATTTTTTATTAATTTTTATTAGATTTATTTAATTATGTTTTAATTTGTTGGTTAATTATTTAATAATTTTTTATATATGAAAATATGAATATGGTACTTAATTATGATTATAATTTTTATTATACTTGTAATTTTAAAAAGAAAATTAAGCTGAAGGATTAGTTTACTAGCAGAATATATATTTCATTTAAGAAATATGTTTTAATAAATTGTAATACTCCCTTTAATCATTTTATAATCATTAAATATATAAATTTAAATATTTTGTAATAAATACTAATTTTTTTTTACATAAATTTTAAACTTATATATCTTAATATTATTACATAAAACACAGTAAATTTTTTATTGTCTAACATTTATTTGGATTATAGACTTTTGATTTCCTTGTATTCATTTGCTTTAAAATCCTTATTTATTAAAATTTATTGAAATCTTTGGTTTTGTAACATTTACATTTTAAACTTTTTATTTTCTTATAACTTATGATTTTTTTTTTAAGGGTGAGTTGTTATATTAGTGTTTGTCATGTCTCTATTACATTTTATTTTCTCAATTTTTTGTTTGTCATATTACTAATCGATGATTTGTTTTTTTATTGGGTTTTCATTTTTATAATTTTATAATTTTTTAATAATAATCTATGATTATATGCATTTTAAGTTTATTTATTAGTGAATTGATGTATTTATTCAGTATTTGCATATTTTATAATTTTTTTATTTTTTGCTATGACTTTTTTACAGTTTTAATCTAGCCATTAACCAATTACTAATCATGAGATTTGTATATTATTATGTTTTCATTTTTATAATTTGTTTATTTTCAATCATAATTTATGATTTTTTTTTGTTTCAATTTTCTTTTTAGGGTAAGCTCTCATATAAGTGTTTTTCATGTTTCTATTACACTTTCTTCCCTCAATTCTTGTTTGTCATATTATTAATTATGAGGTTTTTTTTATTATGTCTTTATTTTGATAATTTAATAGTTTTGTAATTTTTAATCATGATCTATGATTTTTTGCCTTTTTAAGTTTATTTATTAGCTAATTAATGTATTCTTTTGTGTTTGCATTTTTATAATTTTCTTTTTCTTACCATGATCTTTTCTTCTTCTTTTTTTCAGTTTAAACTTGTGTTAGCTTTTTAGTTGAGATGGTAATTTAAGAAAGGGGTGAATTAGATTTTTTTAAATTATTTTCAAACAAATTATTTCAATATAATTGAATAGAAATTAAAACAATGAGCACTTTTGATGAAAATATAACGCAAACAATAACAATTAATGAAACTAAAATCAAATATAAACAACAATAAATTGTAAAGAGATAGGGATAGAGAAATCAAACACAAGAATTTATAGAGGTTCGATCCTTCTCCACAAGACACCTACGTCCTCTCTCTTAATTGTCCACACCAAGGATTCAAACCACTATACTTGAATTAGAATTACAACCTATCTTTTTTTTTTATAAGGCTTAAGATAGAAACCTCTACCCTTTGTAGTATTTTACCCAATCTCACTACAAAGCTCTCAAGAGAATACCTTACTTCTTATTCTCTTCCACCCTTGTATATCAAAGGTAATCTTGCAAACAGTAGAATAACCTTTCTAAGGCTAAGTGTTTGCTAAGTTTAAGTACAAAAAAATGATGAATGAATAACAAATATAATTTGGATATAATAAATACAAAGATATAGACTTTGAAGCTCTAAAAACTCTTAATTATTTCAGAGAATGAAAATATGGCTTGTTGGCTCTTGCTTTCTTGATTCATCAACCTTCTTGATGTGTTGGGGCACCCAATTTATAGAGAAATTGAGGAAATGGTTGTTGGAAGTGTTTGGGAGAAGAAAATAGCGATTGGAATCATGAAAAAGTAGCTGTTGGAGTGATCTTGCCCAGACCCAATCGATCACTTCCCTTAGGGGATCGATTGGTTTTTGTTTTGAACTAATTCACGCTTGAAAATAGCTTGCCCGATCAATCCTTTTACGTAGGGGATCGAATGGTTAAGGGGGTGATTGATCCCCTACATAGGGTGATCAATCCCTTCTTGTCATTTTAACAAAAAATTCCTTTTTGGGTAAAAAAGCAATCGATCATTTCCTTGAGGGGATCGATCATGTCCAAGCTGGGTGGTTATTTTCCTTTTTATACTCTATTCATTAATTTGATCATAACTTGAGTTATATAAATCCAAATCACAAACCGTTTAAATATTTAGAAACTAGACTTAAAGGGCTTTCTATCCATATAAAGCTCATCACCTAATTTATTGTGTACGTATTATAGTAAATTTTCAAAATTACCTATTATGTAGTTTTTAGATAACTGTAGAGTGTCTAGTAAAAAATTCAAAATCTTTTCTTAGAAAATTTAGATTTTGATTTTGTTTAATCCATTTGAAAGTAGACTTAAAGAGCTTTCCAACCATATAAAATTCAAATATTAAAACTTTGTGACTTAATACAAAAAAATAAAATAAGTTTAATGTTGGAAAATTTAATTCTTGTAAAACAACTTTCTTAAGTTAATCTATTTCTCAAAACTAATATTATCAAAATTGTATTAAGTCCAAAATGAATAAGTTCACTTTAAAAACAACAATTGGACTTTCATTTAAGCTCAAATAAATAATCTTTAAAGATAGATTTGGTTTAAGAAATATGAAAACAAAGAAGGTTTCTTTATAGTTTGAAAAATATATTATTTATTTAGTACCAAAATATAAAACTTAAGAATATGTACTAAATAAATCTTTTTCAAAATCTTGATCAAGTTTATTTAGTTTAATGTTATGTCATTTCAAAATAAAGATCAATTCAAGGCTAACAGCTTGACCTATTAACAAATTAGAATATATCATGATTGATTATCTTTTAAAAAGATGATTAGATTATCAAAATTTATGTTTGTCAATTATGGGATGTTAAAAATTATAAGACTAAATAAAATGTTAGTGCAAAAATGTTGTTGATTTATTTTATTAGTTTCTTATATGTGATTTATTTTCTTATTTTTTTGGTTCAATCATAAGCATGAATATTGTTTTTTATATATTTTATTTATGATTTTTTATTTTCCTTTTTTGAATTATATAAATGCTTTTAATCTCTTATATATTTTAGATTTTAGATTTTTGGTATGTAGCATGTTACTAATTATGAGATTTATTAGTATTCTCTTTATGTTTGCATCTTTATAATTTTTTTCTTTTTTTATATAGTCCATTATCGATGTTTTTGCTATTTAAATTTATCTATTGGATATTTAAGACACATTAGAACACATTTTTACTTATAACTTTTAAATTTTTTTTAAGCAATAAATTAATGTTGCAATAAGAGTTAAAAGGTTTAGTTTGTCAACTATATTATACTTTTCATTTTATATTGAAAGTACGTATGAATATTTTATTTGTATCTTAATTTTATGGATTATGCTAACATAAAATTTGCTTCTTTTTTATTTTTTTTCATTATGTTTTATTTTTTATAAGAATTTTAAATTTTTGGTAATGTGCGATCTCATTGACAATGGAAGGCGATATTCAAATTTCAATGTTATGATAAGATTTTAATTCTTTTTGTTACCTTATGTTTTTCTCTTTTTTTTCCTCTTAATCTATTTATTTATCTTTTTTCTTCATTTCTTTCTTTTTATACTTTTCATGTGACAATTAAACCATAGAATATAGATATTTTATATTGTCATATTCATTTATATTGTTAACAAATTTATGTTTTCTTTAAAAGATTTCTTTTGATGTTTAATAGTTTCTCTATATGATTATAGTTTAATTTTTTTTATATTAAATACCAATGTAAGACTCTTCAAAAACTCGAGATATAATTTTTTCCTAAAAAAAAAAGTATTATTCATCTTTTAGATAAGTCATTTTTCTTTTTATATTAAACTTCTTAAAATAATTAAAATGATAGATATAAAGGTTTAAAAAGATAAAACTAATTAAAGTAATTATAATATGACTAAAATAATCATATAATTCTTATAATTTTATAATATATCATTACAACATACTTATAAAATTGATTAGTTTTGCAAAATAAATGCATTTCAAAATGCATGAGGACATTTTCCTTCAAATTTTTAGTATTTAAAAAATGAAATGTGTGACAATTACACTTGCAATTACATTTATGGTATAATTTATATAGTTTATAGATAGTTATTTTCAAAATATTTAACATTTTAACTCTTTAAACTTAAATTTAAAGTTATAATTTTTATTTTATTAATATATATTTGTTTTCATAAAAACTTTATTGATAATCCAATCATTTTTATGAATGAAATAGCGAAAAGATTAAAAAGATTTTATTTATTTTATTTATGGTGAGTAAATAAAATCTTTTTGTAATTATTTGATTATATATTGTGTTATAATTTCAAGAGATCTAAAAAAATTAACCTTCCTTGTAATTTAAGATTATAAATATATAAAATTTATTCTACTTTCAAAACTTTTATTTATTTCTTGTTGAGAATTTTTTACATTAGATTATTACTAATAAAAAGGAAAAAATTTTTGCCATCAACATGACTTGATGATTTAATAATAATAATAATAATAATAATAATAAAATCAATAATTTTTACATAAAATAAAATATTCAACTAAAATCTCCAAGAATATTCTGGAAATTAGATTCTTTTTTCTTTTTTGCTAATTAACAATTAGATTTTAATACTTTATATTGAAGTTTTGTGTGGAAT